AGACTGTGCTGATGAAAGGTTTTTCCCCAGCAACCTGCCTGCTGAATCCCCCTTCTTTCATTTCCTTCTCACTATTTGTGCTGACAGATTAACGCAATGTTTTTCAGCTTGCTCCAACACGGGATCTTCTTTATTTGTCAATATAATTGAGTAACTCTGGCATAATGTTTTTTATTTATTATAGGAGAAACAAATATTTGCAATTTTATAATTTCATGAATTAGCAGCCTGACTGTAATCAACACATTGAATGAGATATTTTCAGAGCATCTGTCAGGATGCACTTGATCCCCCATGAGTTGCAAATTGTGGTGATCAAATATGTGCTTTTTACCACACCGAATATGTGATCATAGTTAGTCTAGGTGTACAATGGACAGATCACACTTTCAATTATTCTGAACAAAGACCAGAGAAAATGCTTTGTTGCCTTTTATGTCTAGTCATTTTTGTAAAAAAACATGTATATTCTAAAATAAGAAAAATATATAAAAAACAAAGTGCAGCTACTTTCACTCCGTTTTAAATGCAGGATAACCAATTAATGGACTCTGTCAATATTCAACTGTCTTAATAAGTCTGAATTATTCACAACAACACTCAAAAAGAGTAATGTATAAGAGGAAAAAAAAAGTATTTTTGCAACATTCAAATTAAATTAAAATTTGGAAAAAAGACAAATCACTCTTCAAGATTTACTCAATGACTGGAAAAACTGAAAAGCTTGAAAATAAGTGCATGTGTAAAGCAGATCAATTCAGATTTTGCCAATGTGAATGTGTTTTTCTGTATACCTCAGTATAATGTAGCCTACAAAACCTGAACATTTATTGAACTTGAACGGTATGTAAATTGATACCCCTAACCCCCAAATCAAATATTACAGGAGAAGAGGTTCAAAGAAATAGTTATACATTTCTTGAATTAGGATGTCATACTTTATTCCCAAAAAGTGAAATCTCTTTATTTTTGTTTGTGGAAACTTTTCAGAATGATAAGATAGAATGCATTTTTGACTATGCTCAAGTGCTTACAAGTTGATTGTTGATACATATTGAGTAAAATGCAGGAAATGTTTTATATATGTATAAATAACTGAATATTTAGCACAATACTTGACAACTGAAAAATACTAACTGTAAAACCGCAAACTAAACAAAACCCCAAGTACACAAAAAACTAAAAACTTTTCTTTTATAATTCCTTAGAGATTGCAAAAAAAAAATAGCATTCAATAATTTATGATTATGCTAACCTCTGAAGATGGACTATGCTTAAAGTGTCACCAAACCAAAAGAGGATTGAACTTCATCTTCATGATATTACTTCAAAACAATACCATTCTGATGAATTAAACAAGATGAGTTTTTAAAGAACTCTTTGTGCACCTCTTTTGTCAGCAGGGAAAGCATTGAAAAATTCTTCAGGGACATTTCCAAGACTTCAAAAAAGCACTTGAATTTATCATTGGGATAGTATTTTCAGGAGAGGGGTAGCTGAAGCAAAAGGAATACAATATGTTAGGGCGTTTTTAAAAGTAGTGTCGAAAGACTGAATAATCAATACTTAACCAATGTATGCTTTTTGTGTGTCTGAAGCACTGAATCTCAGACAACACAGTTCTTTCACCTAACATAAAAATGTCATGTTACATGACGACTGAGTAAAATACTTGTGTTTAAGAAGTAATGCAACAGGAACATATGGCTTATAAAGTAATGTAAATGAAAATGTATACATTTCTATATTAGATGAGAATTAGATTCAGTATATGGAATTAGATTTGTTTTTACTATATTTTATGTTAATGTTTAATTGTATATCAAGGTAGCACTTGATTAATCCAGTCTCATGACATAGGCATATAACTTGAACTACTTCTCACCTAATACATGTACTATAACAAACTCAGTCTTTTTGTTTGAGCTTTCAAAGGGTGTGACTCATTTGTTTGTCATACCAGGTGAAAACTGGAGCAAATTATCATAACATGGCACTTTGCCAAACAGTTGAAAAAGAAAATGAATAGCTCATTGCTTTCTTGTTGTTGTTAGTGCCTCTCAGGGCATCTAACTTCTACATTAAATGTATTACGTAACAACTCATTTTCCATAAATTTGAATATTATTAATACTAATAGTGGTCATTAGTTACAAAAGCACAGTAGTAGAGGTAAGGACTCAGCAAAGAGATAAATGTAAGACTGTGTTTCCAAACAAATGATTTCATTTAATTCTGTGTACACAGCCTGCAGCCCGCTCCATCTCACACAATTTATGTTCTTAATACTGCATGGTGAAAACCCTTTTAATAATCCTGCGCTACCTTCACCTCTCAGAGAATGTATACAAATAGGCCTTGTTGTAAAAGAAGCTGTTTGTGTCAGTTGTTTAGGCATTTTTCCCATTCCAAGGGCCAACCTGCAGCCTTGAGCTTTGCTAACATATTCGCTTTGTTGTCTTTGCTTGGTTTTTCAATTTCAAGCCATCATGTTCTGTCAATATTACCTGCCATTGATTCTCCCTCAGTGACTTCAAGACAGAAAGCATGAGGGTAATTTGTTGGCGCTGCAAGGTAAGAGCTGACTATAAACTGTCCAATTTTTTTTTACTTTTTAAATCGGCACCTTCTAGGTTTCCCTTCCCACATTTCCTTTATCTGAAGGCTTGACAAGTCCTTTGATTGTAAATGTTTACAGCACTGCCCACAGCCTGAGCGCTGATTCAAGCCTTCAGACCCTTGTCTGCTTCTCTGCTGATTTGATAGCTCACAGACAGGTGTGCCACCATGGTGACTAATTACATGAACACATCACGTGCAGTCATGTCACTGTTCTGTATGACTCAGACAGGTAAAAAGTCAACAAAAAAAGTAAAAGTTTTTGCAGCTAATTCCATGTTATTGTGCAAGAGAATGATTCATCCTAGATATATTTAGATTGTTTCTAATATTCTACAAAAATACATTCTGCTATAACGTTTGCTTGATTTGCTTATTTCTTTAAGCAAAGTTTATTCTTTTTAATGTACTTTAATTTATATAGCTCTGTAGAGTGTATAGACTCTAGAAAAGTATTTGATACAGATTAGTTTTGTGTGAAGCAATCAGCTCTCCAAAGGGCACCGTGAAATATATTTTCTATTTAGATGAGGCATTAGAAAACGTATTGAGCAATTAGTATTTATTATTCAGTGATATCCTCTAGGTGAACCTGTTAAAGATGTAAAGATGCGTAATTTAGACAAGAGCTCTGTTTTGTTGTTGTTTATTAAGCAGGATGGATAGTGCTGTTGATGTTTTCAGTATAAGTAAGAGTACATTCCTTATGCATAACATCAACATCAGAACAAAGAGTTTATAAGGAGATCACATACTGTACACAAATGTTCTTACAGTTTACTTTAAGATAAAAAAAATCCTTTTGAAATTGTTTATCTGTGTTAATGTATATCAAATCTAATTAAACTGTACAAGTGCCTGTCCTCATTCAGTGGTCAATACAAGACTACTGAGTATATTTAAACACATCCCCCTTAAGGTTTTTAAAATGAATTACTCTTGTAATAATAGATTCATACTGGTTTTCAGATCTGGAAGATATTCCAATCTTTAGTAGGTTTATATGAAACACAGCAAAGAATTTGGAAAATAAAACCCAAAGTCAATATCTGTATAAAGTTGTCACTGAAAGCTTGTTTTAAGCTCACAGTTTCCTTTTTTAAGGACACAAACTTGAACCTCTGCCAGTTTTAAACAATAATTGCATTCAGATGTAAAATTTGGGCACAGCTTCCTTATCTGTAAGTATTTCGAACATAATCACTATGATTACAGACATGGCACAGAGCAAAAAGAATGCCTGGTAATCACAATACATAGATCTAAAGTAGTAAATCATAATAGCCCTATCCCCACATGTTGACAGTACATCTTTTTTTCATTGCTATGTTTTGAGGCTTCAGCTCCTATTCTGTGCAATTCTCCTCTGGATGTGTGTCTTTTAATAATATAATAAGTATCCATCAATAAATATCCATTATTCGATAACATACGTTTCCTGAAAGGTAAATGTTTGTGAAAGAAGAAAATGAATTACATGAAATTCTACTATAAATATGAAATAATATAGATGTGAAATAATACTATACTGAAGTAATAATGGGAAGAGAAGGCATGATGGCACAGAGGTGAGTATTGCTGCCTTGCAGTACGAGAGCCCCTGGCCCAGTTCAGGACCTGGGGCGCTGTCCGTGTTCTCCTGGTGCTGGAGTGGGGTTCCCCTCACAGTCCAGGGATAGACGGGTCACTTCACTGGCTGCTGGGAACATCGGCCCTGTCGTGTGCGTGCGTGCGCGCTGCAGTGGACCGGTGTCCCATCCAGGGCGTGCACTGCCATCGCTCTTTGCCTTGAGCCCAGGACCTGTATTGGACGAAGTGGCTAGAAAATGGGTGGATGGAAAGAGATTGGCCCTCAAAACTATAACGATGTCACTTGTATATATATATATTTTGCTGGGTGGTGGGATTACAGCTGATGCATGCATCGAATTAGCTACCCTTTTTTTCCCCCAACTTCTAGTTGAAAACCTTGGGTTAAAAGACTACTTTAACCTTATTTTTATAATGTAATGCTTTAAACTAGTGTCCGTCCACTGACACTGGCATTACTGTAAACTTGTTCCACGTGCAGTCTGCATAAACAGAATTGAAAGCTAAATCTGCTGTACCGGAACAAACGACGCTATTCAGTTTAAAAAAAATGTGAGAAGCTGTTGTGGGCCCTACCTGAAATTCCTGTTCTGCTGAAAACTTTCGGGGGAGTGGCGACTATCAGCCAGAAGAGGGAGCTTGTAATCTCTTTCCAGTCCACGGTTCCAAACAGCAGCAGTGTTTGAATCGAGAGGGAGTGACGTCACATTAGTTTCTCCCCACTCGCCGAGAAACAAAGTAACCGAGAGTACAGCAGTGAGAATGGAGCACAGGAACCAGCAGGAATAATCAAACCTGAAAAAAAAACAGTTTTTAAAACTTTGAAAACTGGAAAAAACAAACATGGATTCGATCGTTCTGCATTTTATATTGCTTTCTGTACCTCTCCTAAGAGTTGCGCCGCAGTTCACTGCTGGTAAGTCAACTTGTTTTCCTAGTATTTTTTTTTTGTTTCAGCTGCGAGGAAAGTTAAAGATCGCAGTTTGGAAACGATCCCATCAAGGTGTGCTCGCCTTGGTCTTTAGAGAAAGCTGAATAAAAAGAAAAGTTTTTTTTTTCCCGGCTTACCCGAGAATCTGGATATTGATGCGTTCCTGAGTAGTTTGCTCTCTAATAGTTTTCCCGGTTCATAAGCTAGGCTAAACGGAGATAAAGGTGAAACGAACGATATCGTTTAAAACTTTCGTGTCTTTCGAGAAAAGGTCTTCAAAGCATTTTGCAGTACTTAATCCCCGGACAGTGCTTGTTTTGTCAGGCTGACTTCACCCAGGTTTAAGAACACGTTTCTCGGATATTATTTCACCAGTCGGTGGATTTCAGGTGAAGAAGTGTTACAACAAACGCCGAGTAACAATATTGTGGGACGGGTACGGTTTTCAGTGAAACATTTTCAGTTTATTCCTGCTGTGGGTGGATGTGGCTGTTTGAAGTTAGTAATATTCTACTGCAAGACTATACAAACTCTGATCATTAGAAACTTTGAAACCTGAATATTTCACAGCGTTGCGAAGACGCACATACAGGTATACATCCTTGTTTTCAGTAACCTCTTTATCCAAATAGTTCTCTTTCACCCGCTAGATCTGTAAACACTTCTTCGACAAACTTTCTAAAAGAAGAATTCCTGCTGAAGTCTACCGATTTAAAGAAAACAGCAGAGCTTTTACAGAATGCAGGGTTTTGGGTTTTAGTCATGGTGAAAATCGTTTGGTACCTGTTGAGATAGTTCCCTGTTTCTGAAACCACTGCTTTGTATGTAGACAAGGAAATGTATATTGTTATTATTAAACAGGTTAATTGATCTCGCTCGTCAAGCATGCCATATGGGAATAGCGCTTAAATTAAACTGAACTGCGTCGTTTTGGAATCCAGCTGCATCGGATCAATTTTGCGGACTGTGAGGCTCTCACTCCAGTTCAAATTAAAGTTTTTCGTGCCTTTGCATATAAATACATACAACGCATACCCGTTTTGACTTGGTAGCAAAAACACAAAACAGTTTTTGCCACACTGATTGTAACCAAATGCTTTGTTTTAAAGTTTTTTGAAAATGCGGTCGAACACTGTTTTCTATCATCAAAGCCTTTGTTACATGTATCCCTCCCAACAGTTCCTTTTAATTGCCGATGTCGACCTGTCCGATATTTTCTATTCCACCCCCTGATCTCTTGCCACCGACTATCAATGAATCTTTTGGAATCCCAATTAAAAAAACAAAACAATTATGCCCTCATGAAGTTATGACTTGATGAATGTTTATCAAACTATAGTTACTTTTAAGAATCTTCTCTGGGACATGGCGTTTGTGTGTAGTCAAAGGTATGCCAAGTTTTCGCCCCTTTTGTTCTCGGGTGGTAATGTCCTGGAGGGATTTAAAGATCTGCGCAAGGGTGGGGTGGAGTTAAAAAGGCTGTAGGGCTCTTGAAATGCTAATGTTTAACAAAATGCACACAGGTTGTAGTTTAAAACCCTTTAACTAAAAAAAAAATGTGTTTGTAGGTTTTGTGCTAGAATCCTTTACAGTTGTTTATTTGGCATTCGTCCAATAGAAGTATTAATAAAGTGTTAATTCGTATACATTTTGATTTTTAGTCAGGCTTTATATACATGTATTAAAAAAAGAGATTTAAAAAAATCGATTACCGTGTGTGTTTTGGTATCCCTGGTGCATAGCTGAGCGGGGTTAATAAAGGGACTTCTAAAATGCTTTAATAGCAGTGCAACCACTAGGACCCACATCTGTTTTGAACGTAACCTACATCATCAGATTACTGCGCTCTTGGGGGAGGGGGTTCAGCTGTCGATGGCTGATTAATTAATCAGAATGTCTTAACTTTGGATTAATTACATTAATCAAAAACAGAATGAAAAACCGAGAATTATACACATATTTTAGATTGATTAGTAGCTGGTTTAATTATCCTTACGTGTATTATGGAAATGAACTGACTGATCACTTAAATATATAAGCAATGCCCTGAAATTAAGTAGCAAATCACTGTGCTAATCCACGTATTATTTTCAGTTACATCAGGCTGCATTGCAAATAGGACTATTTAAAAGGGGATGTGTTACTGAGAAGCATTATCATACTCTGCATTATTTTTTAATTCTAATTAATAGCTGGATTTGTAAAAAATAGCTTTACCTTCCAACTTTGCGTTAATCCTGGAACACTTCATAAGCAATTGGACAAAGATTGTCTTTTTCAGCCAATATATTGCTGTATACGTGTGATGATTTAGACCCTTAAGGAACTCTAATTTTAATTGTATTTTTTTTTTAATATTATTACCACAGATCCGTAGTTTGATAAATACATTTGAAGATAATGGAAGTAAAAATTATTTACATGTAGTTGTATAGTTGAAAAGAATCAAGAATGTGTGTAATGTTGTAGATCCAAATCATAAATCATAATACCAGAGATCTGGTTTTCTTAAATCGTTATTGTCTTAACCTTTGTAACACCTTTAGAAAAAATCAACTATTTAAAAAAATAAAAAGGAATAGTTAAGAGAGGTAAATTAATGTGACAATAATGCACTTATCTGTGGCCATCTATATAGAGAATCTCATATTCTCCATAATCTCAAGACTATAAAAGCTGAAAAGGTTTTTTGGTGATTGTTAATTTTTCAGATTGAGTTTTAGCTTTGCTTTGAAAGTCTTGGTTGTTTTCCAGAGGAGCTGTCTTTCATGCTGCTTGCAGTCTGTGTTCAGGATGAACTGTCTTTTGCGACTTTACAGCTGCTTTTACAATACTGATTTTAAATATATGCATACATTGAAAAATGTGCCTTTTGCAAAAGTTCAAATTGTTTGATAGCCAAGGTTTTCATACAGGGCAAACCCTCATATTCTGAATATTTCTGGTATAAATAAAGATTAATTCCATACTGAGTTTTCTTTGCTCCTCAGCGTGGAGTTAATCTTTACTCGTTCCTTTGCAGCCAACGCACACTGACGCACCCCTCCCCCCCCCACGCAAAGACATATTTTTAACTAAATTTTGACTTTTTCTGATTATGGATCAACATTCTAATGTTTTAAGAACATTGTCATTTTGGTACTGATGTATGTGCTAGTAATCTCAGTTTCATAGACGTTAGAAAGCCATGATGTAGTGAACAAGTCAATGCAGAAAAAAAATCCTGATACTGATGTCAGGTTGCTTGCATTTGATACAGGTTGACATAGGAATGTTATCTTTATGCAAGGGAACAGTCAGATTCTGCTTATCGGCATTCTTATGAGCCAGTGTAATGTTATGTTCAACCTCAGCACAACCCATTTTTAGCTTTGGCAGGAAAAGTATTATGAAGTTCAGGAATCTGAATGCTAAATCAATACTTGACAGAACATGTTAAAGTTTTTTGTCAACGTTATGGATTTTTAATGGCATCACCACACATTCAGCTAAAGTCCTGCCTAATATTACCGTGGGATTTATTCTGATCAGCATTTTGTTTGCATTTTCTCACCTGATGGTACACATTTGCATGCATAAGAGTTGAAGTAATAACATGATCATTTTTTATATCTCCTAGGTGGCCTTGAACTACCAACCTTGTATTTAAGAGATGATTAGGCGAACCGATTTAGCTACTGAGATGTCATTTCAGCAAAAGTGAAATGCTAAAGACTACTACGTACTTAGGGCATTTTAACAAAAGGCAAGCTATAATAGTGTACGGTGGTTCACCTGAAGTTCCTTTTAAGAAATGCTTTTCTTTATAATGAATACCTTATTTCTATAGATGATAAAGTGTACCGTTCCTATTAAATGGGTGTAGTAAGCTTTCAGGAGCTTAAAAGAGGGAAGTCTTTTTAGCCACGTGTAACAGTACAGAACAGTAATCTACACTTGGAGAGCTGCACCCTTGTTCTGTTCTGGGTTAAATTACTTCCTCTGTGTCTGATGTATCAGTGGAGAAGTATTGGTGACTAAGCAAAAGGCTTGCAGAAGTGTGACATAGGGGTTATGGCTCTGGACTCCACAGTGGAGAATCATGTGCTCAGATCCCAGCTGGAAGGCTGCTTTTGTACCCTTCAGCAAGGTACATCACTCTGATCCAGGAAATACCCTGCTGTATAAATGGCTGCTCTCCAGGTCGTCACCGTAGATGACAAATTGATCTCGATTGACTCATCTGGATAAAAGTTTTTAAAAAAATACTCAAAACCACAATTCTGTCAATGTTAAATACTGTTGAAGTGCACATTCTACGTGAAGAGAGGAGGTTTTGTATGATTTTGTTCACGTGTGTGTGTGCGCCAGTAGCTAAGATCTGGTTATGCATTGCTTTTGGCAGTGCAATGCTTTGAGGATTACTGCATTATTTGTGATTGGTGCCCATTCTGGAGCTGTATTTTAAGCTCCTTTTTTTTAGACTGACTTTGGATTCTTTGTCAGAAGAGACAATAAAAATCAATCCGGAATTATTTGGTTTTTGTTTTGCCCATAATTGATAGAGTGGAGATCTGGTTGTGGAGACAAAATCAGAACAGATCCTCAGTTTTCACAGTAGCAAGCCCTCTCTTTAGAAGACGTGTCACCATAGACACACTCAAATCTAAAACTGTGTGCATACAGTAAGCGACATTACCCACAAACGCAATTTAAAAACCTCCCTCAATTTCCCATGGTTTAGTGGTGCTTTAGAATGCTTTATCTTTAGAGAGTGGATAAAAGTTTTCACAGATTTGCAGCCTATCTGTGCTCTTTCGATCTTGGCTCCTGCTAACTACTGTCCTGCTTTGACCTTAGAAAAGGATTCTAAAAATATTTTAATCTTTCATGTTAAATTCTGGTTTAAAGTACAGTACCTTGCAAAAGTATTCAGACCCTTGACCTATTCTCTCATTTTACTGAATTACAAATCCTACATTGAAGTTTTGTTCTCTGTGAGATTT